GTTAATATATATTTTTTGTAAACAGGAGTAGATATAAGTTTTTTTCTTCTTCTGCTGCCTTTCATTTTATTTAATTTGTATTGTTTTGTTGTGTAATGTGTTTTGTTGTTTTTTTTTTTTAATGAAATGAGTAAGTCACCAGAGAAAATCCTCTTGGCCTGATCATAGGTGTGAGGGAAGCCTTCCAGAACAAAGCCGTGGTTCCTGCAGACTTTAGACTCCAGCTTTTCCTGTAAAATCTCACAGATCTGCTGTTCATCCAGCTGACCTGGAGGAATCAACACAAACCCAACTTATTCAAACATTTATGAGAAGAAGCTCCAGGAGAAACAGACTTGTAAAGAAGTGATTTGTGTCAGTTTTTCTTCTGACCTTCAGTTGTTTCTAAGCTCATGTTTCCAGCAGCTGAAGCTTCATGTTCAGGATCAGCTCCGGTTCTTTTCTCCTGCTGTGATAAATGAAGACCATGAAACAAACCTCAGGTTGGTTCTGCTGCAGGAGGCCGGTCCATTCACTGACCCGTTGTGTGTCTGTCTCCTCCAGGAGGCTGTGGACGTGGACGTGGTGTATCCTGTAGTACTGGCAGAGCTTCTCAGCCACCGTGCTTTTCCCCACAGCTGGAGGTCCAAGCAGGCAGAGTTTAACTGGCTGAAGAAGAAAGCAGCAGGTAAAACCTGGTGAAGTTCAGTGTGGAAACACTAAACTGGCTCTGATCTTCATTTAACACGTCTGAACTGTGAGCAGCTCTCACCAGAAGCTGCCTGCAGTCTTTGTACTCCTGCACAATGTTCTCCATGTTCTCCACCATCCCAGAGGGACACGTCCAGCTCAGGTTCAACAGGTCGTTCACCATCACAGCATCCAGGCAGAGGTCGATGCTCAGACAGTCCAGCTGCTGAGTCTGAAACCAAAGAAACCTTCTGAGGACCAGAGAAAGCATCACAAACTGCAGCTGAAGAGGAGAGTTTCCTCAGAGGGAACCAAGAAACATGAAGAGTTTTAGCATCAAGCTGTCCTTCATCACTGAAAGTCTGCACTGTGGTCAGAAACAGAAACGTCTTTAGAGCAAATATTAAAAAGGGCAGCACTAATATATGTATTTTCAAAGAAAACGTGTCATAAAATTAGCAATAAACACATTTTATTTTGACAAACAGGTCTGTATGAGCACCGTATAAAACCTGTACCGTCACAGCCTTCATGGTGACGACGTCCTGCAGCGACATCTTGTGGACTTCTTCTGGTCCGAGTACGTCACTTATCGTCTGATGATCCAGGAAAACAGACTTTTCCAGTTTCCAGTTAAAAACACAAAGACATGCTGCAGGGTTCATGCAGGTTTTAATAAGTTCAATTTAAGACCTTTTAAAGACCTTTTTAAGACCCTTTTAAGACCTTTTAAGACCCTTTTAAGACCCTTTTAAGACCTTTTAAAGACCTTTTTAAGACCCTTTTAAGACCTTTTAAAGACCTTTTTAAGACCTTTTAAGACCTTTTAAAGACCTTTTTAAGACCCTTTTAAGACCTTTTAAAGACCTTTTT